CCCTTTACAGATTCACCCTCTGCAGTGCTCTTTGCATGATCTAATCATCTTATCCCACACTTAAAATTTATTTTGTGTGTTGGGACTGAGAACTGACTATTGCAGAGCGACATTTGGTTTGTCCTTGTGGTGCAAGCCAAAGCCAGATATAGGGGGTTAAGGAGCGAGTGGATGATGAGAAAGAAGCAGCAGTAACTACAAACTCTTCAAAGAGAGAGGAGAGGAATGGAATTATTGTAGGTATTTGAGTATTTTTATGAAATAGGTTCTTACTACAGTCACCTGAGTAGTTTAAAATATTTTATCTGGACTTTGAGCTATGAGACAATTAAACAGCTTTAGGCACAAAGATGTGTTTACAGGAGATTTAAAAACTCCAAACGGGGCTGGCTGGGTGGCATGTTGGTTAAGAGTTGGCTTGGGACGCCAACTCTGAGCAGCAGGGCCCGGGTTCGGATCCCACATGAGGGCCAGTAACGCTGCGCCCTCTACAGCTAAGATGGTGAACAACCGCTCAACCAGGAGCCGGGCTGCCGTGAGTCTCTGGCGATGACGTAGGCTGCAGTGGGGCTGGCCGGCAGCTGGCGTGAGCTTTCATGAGTCACCGTGAGCGGCCATCCAATGGCCAGCGACCAACTGCCTCACCCGGGAAGAGCGCAGTGATCACAATACCAACATGGGCCAGTGGAGCGACATCCTCCACAACTAGACTGAAGAACAAAAGGACAGCAACTTGTTTGTTCCCCTTCCCTGATTCTCCAATGCTTTTCCCCTCCCCCAATTCCCCAATAAAATCTTAAAAAATAAATAAAACTCCAAAAGGAAAATCTTAGTATCAAGATGGTTGTGCATTTTTTGATAATTCACATTAATGAAGTATAAGTTTTTTAAAAATTACCTTTTCAATGGATATTTCATGTAAACAATTAAATGCATTATAATTACAAACATCTCAGTATTGGGGGAATTAAGAAAGTGTTTAAAAATGTACACATGGAAATTTTGTTAAAACTTGAAAGAATGAGGGCCGGCCAAGTGGCTCAGTTTGTTAAGAGCTTGCTCAAGAGAGAGCTCTGAGCAACAGGGTCGCCAGTTCGATTCCCACATGGGCCGGTGAGCTGCAGCTGAGCTGAGCTGCTGCTGAGCTGCCATCAGGTGGCAGGATGGCTCAGCTGGTGAGAGCACGTGCTCCTAACCACAGCCTGTACCAGATGGTGGGTTACGCCCGCCCGCGGCTAAAGACTGAATTCAGCACCTTGAGCTGAGCTGCCGCCTGGATGGCTCAGTGGATAGAGCATGCGCTCTTTTTTTTTTTAAGCTGAGCCATCCTGTTACCTGTTGGCAGCTCAGTGGCTGCTCAGCTCGGGCTGGGAATCGAGCCGCTGTTGCTCAGAGCTCAAACTCTTGAGCGAGCTCTTAACCAACTGAGCCACTCGGCCAGCCCTGGAGCATGCGCTCTTAATGAGGCTGCTGGTTCGACTCCCACATGGGATGGTGGCTACGCCACCCGCAACTAATTGAATGCAGCACCTTGGGCTGAGTGGCGTGACAGACTTGGAGCTGAGCTAGCTGCACCCTCCACAACTAAGATTGAAGGACAACAACTTGGACTTGGCTGTTTTCCTCTCCCAGTTCCCCAACACTGTTCCCCTCCCCTAATTCCGCAATAAAATCTTAAAAAAAAAAAAAGAGTGAGAATGGAAATGGAGACAAGGTAGATGATCTGCCAAACGTTTCAAAAGGGAGAAAGAACTGAAAATGACTCAGATTCTAATGTGAGAAGGTAAGATGCCAATTATGGCTGACAAAAAAACAAACAAAAAAAACTTGAAAGAATGAGTACTTCAGGTATTTAATGCATTCATTCTGCAAACACTTTTTTGTTCAACTTATAAGTATTAGGTATTTTGCTAGGTATTATTATTTGCCTCATAATTGGTTTTTTTCTCCTAAAATGAAAAAGGGTTTGAGGCTATGAAAATGGATTCTTTTTTTAAAAGATGTCAATGTATTAAAAAAAGAAAAAGTACCTTAAAGATAAGTATAATATTATAATTGTGAAATGCTATTTATACTTAAAAATGGAAATTCGGTCATTCACTTACTAATTGCTTATTGGACACACGTTACTATAAGTTAGAATTGTGCTAGGTGCTGTAGGGTATGTAAAGAAGCTTAAGGCATTAATACGCGTGTTGTCAAGTTGCTCATAGTTTAGCAGGAAATCTAATTTCCTTTTAGGTAACTCAGACTTCTTAGCATATTAAACAAGACTTTTCAGATTCATTATCTAATTTTTTTCCAATTGACCTGTCAGTTTTCAAATAGGTGTATTAAAAGCTATATTTGCCAGTTTTTCTATGTAATTTTCAGTTTGGGCTATGAATATTTTTTCTCTTAGTACACTTTAAAAATATACTTGTCATTTGTTTTCAGAAGGTTGCTCCATTATTTGCTTCTTCTTGGTAGAGTGAATTCTTCTGTTTTGTGTAGTTGAGTTTGTTAGCAATTCTTTCCTGACTAGTCTGTCGTGTGCATTGGCATTTTCATGTGGAAGCTCATCTTGAGTCAGAGCTTCATGAGATGTTCGTTTTTCTTTCCATTCTCTTCACTTACTCCTCCATTCTGGGCAGTTTTATTAATACCTCCACTGGCTCATCACTTCAGAACTTGGTTGTTTTTATACTAGAATCTCAGTTCTTCTGAGGATATTACATATCTAGTTCCTAAAATATATAGCAGTTTAGCCCAGCCTCAGCTATGCAGCTGTTTCTGCTTTCTCCTGCTAGTCTAGGGAACTAATTTTATACCTAGAGTCCCCACCACAGTGAATGCTTCCCTCATTACCTCAGAGAAAGGAATCTAGATGTCTTTACTTACTTCGCTTTCAAGAAATAGAAACTTCAAACACTATGAGTTTCTTTGTAGTTCTTACCTACTATAATTTTTATTTTGTTTTTCAAGTATGACAACTATGCAAGTTACATGTATGCCGACAATGTGCAATTAATAAAGTAAAAATTGAAGGGATTCTTCCTTAGAGATAATCATTGTTGGTAGTTGTCTTTTTAAATCTTTTCTATGTGTACAATAGCATTGTTTAAACATACAAAGTTTTAGTACTATCAAACTATATTATTCTGGGGGCTGGCCGAGCGGCTCAGTTGGTTAAGAGCTCGCTCAAGAGTGCGAGCTCTGAGCAACGGTGGTTCGATGCTCGGCCCGAGCTGAGCAGCTGCTGAGCTGCCAACAGGTGGCAGGATGGCTCAGCTAAAAAAACCCAAAACTATATTATTCTGAAACTTGCTCCCCCCACCACACACACTCAACAGCATATGAGTGAGTATAATAGAAATCCTCCAATATCAGATAACAGTCACCTGATTCTCCTTAACAATTTCACGGTCTGCTATAGTATGTTTATACCGTAATTTATGTGGCTACTTTCCTAGACATTTGAGGTTATCTTATTTATTTCACTAATGGAAAGAGTGCTGTGATGAACTTTTTTCTTTTAAAGCTATAATTATATATTTGTGCAAGTATTGTTACAGGACAATTCCAGAAGTAGAAAACCTAGGTTAAGTTCTAATAGCTACTACAAAATTGCCCTCCACTCCCAGCAACTATGGATCACAACTTTATCAATATTGGATGTTATCAGTCTTTTAAAATGTTTGCCCTTTAAATAGACAAAAATGATATCTCATTGTTTTAATTTTCTTTTCTCTGATCATTAGTAGAGTTGAGTTTCCTTTCTTATGTTAATGATTAATTTATGTTCCTTTTTTGGTAATTACTGTGTGTGCCCTAAGTCAGTTTTCCCTGTTTAGTTGTCAGAGCTTTTGGGATATGAACCCTTATTTCTGTTATATATGTTGCAGATATCTACTCCCATTCTCTTTCTTGTCTTACAGATTCATTTATGATACCTTGTATCTACCATATGACACTATAAATCTTGTCGTTTATGGCTCCTTCATTTTGTATTTTGTTTAAGAAGATCATGTGATTAGGAAGAGTAGACATTTTCTTATATTTTCTCCTGGTATACTTAAGTTTTGTGTTTACTTTTAAGTCATTGAGCTACCGCACATTTATGTTTGTGAGCTAAAGATGTAAATATTGACATGCATTTTCCCCAAATAGACAGTTGTTCCCATAAACCACCGAACAGTCCAACCTTTCCTCACTAATTTGAAAAACCAGTGATAAAACTATATGAATAATTGAAAGGTTATAAGATACGTGGTATTTTTCTTTTCATACTGGGAGGATGAGAGTTTTGAAACAAATTTCAAGGATGTAGGACAGGGTTTATAGAAAGTCAGGAATAAAAGAGTATGGTTATAGCCTTGGAAGTTACTTTTAATGTTAGTCAATTTAACATTAAATTGACTAACATTAAAAGTATAGATGAGGTAGAATAAGAATATACCTAGGACAAACAAATATGTACTAATATCCGTATAAATAGTAATTAAGGGTATCAATTCAACAGCTTATTATGGAAGGTGATATTACAAAGGGAATTCTTGGCTTTTTTTTTCTTTGTAGATTTAATTATTGTCTAGAAATCATCATTAACCATCCTATAGAAAAATGAGTTCATTTTGGTTAACATCAGATTTAAATCTATCTGTTATATTTAATCCTATAGTTTATATAGTTAAAGTCATTAATATATGAAAGATAATTAATTTCAATTCTGGAAACATTTGGATGTGTGACAATGTACAAACTATGTATGTGACTGAAGAAAAGACCACTAAATATGTGAAATTCCACATTCGGCAGAAGATTTTCCGGCAAACTGAATACACATGGAGAGGAGGGTGATCATGGTATTCTCTTACTGGACCAAATTTGAAGTATGTTAGAAATAGGGCTGTCATAAAATCATTGACCTGTAATGTCATTATAATTGAAAAATTATATTTACTTGTCTTCTGTCTTCCCTTTTCTCCACCTCCATCCTTCTCTTTTATCTTACGTTACAGATCATACATCAGTTGGTGGGCTGGGAGACAGTTTTTATGAATACTTACTGAAAGCATGGTTGATGTCAGATAAAACAGACCAGGAGGCGAGAAAAATGTATGATGATGCTGTTGAGGTAATTATTGTCAGAACATTTACCTACTTAACATATCGAATGTGCAGTGTGTTTGATAGTGACCGATGAACGTCTTCTATGCATTTTGTTATATGCATTCGCTGTAGAGTTGTTAGTATTTTAATATAGAAGTCATATTAAGTTTTCCTTTGTTGTGGTATTTTAAAGAAATTGTTGAAGAATTTAGTGTAGCATATTTATATATGAAAATGTATTTTAATTACTTTTAGTTATTGTCTTCAGGGACTGAAAACCTCTGACTTCACATACTTTTCCATAAATATTCCTTCTTTCCAATGACTCATCAAACTCATCAAACCTATACATGAGAGCCTTACGGGTAAATAACAAGGGCAAAACACTTACATAGCCATTTCCACGCTTCAGGCACAGTTCTGACCCCTTTTACATATGTGAAATCATTTCATCTTTACTACCATTTTACACAGGAGGACCTTAAGTTAGCTAGTAAGTGATGGAGCCTGGAACGGAACAGTCTGGTTCCAGAGCCTATGCTCTTAACCGCTGTATTGTATTGTTTCATATTTATATAAGCTCATACCACAGTGTTGTAACAGTTTAAAGTTGGAACAAGTTTCATTCTTGGAAATGCTTATATGCAGCATTTCCAAGCAGAAATTATGAAATAGAAACGTGTGTTAACTACTTAGTTAGTTATTTGCTTTTTGATCCAGTATAAACCCATACCTGTTTAATGATTTTGATTGCTTTTTAAAAGTATATTTTGTATATACTACAAAGTATATACAATTCTGACTGTAGTCATTTATCAGTATTTAGAGTTATAATTGTTGTTGTTGTTGTGTCTTTAAATTAACCCAAGGATCTTATTACCCATTTTATATCTTTACTTTTTAGGGAATTAATTTTCTATAATTGTTTACAAAAATGCTCAGAAATTGAACTAATAATATGGCATATAGTGCTTTTTCCATTGAAGCCATTAGATACATTTCTTGGAATTGTGTTAACTAAGAAATGGAATTAAATTGATGTGTAATCAAGAATTTCCATTGTAGTATGTAACTTCTAAAATTCTATATGAAGTCTTACATTTTGAAAAATTGGAGAGTTTTATTCTCTGTAATTAAACTTTGCCTAGAAATTTTTATGATCTAAAAAAAAGTCATTCTCTAGGGAGAATGTAATATTCTTGGAATCATAGTGTTGAAAATAGCCCTTAGTCATTCCCACTAGGCCATGGGTTCCCTGAAGGCACACTAATTTGTTTATCATTGTCTCAGCACCTAGTACAGTCCTGAAACAATAGGTATTCAGTAAGTATTTGATAAGTGAATGAGCATATTTCATATTGTTATTTTTGAGAAAGTGTGACATGTCATACACCATGTAATCATTTTCTTCATAGTTTGCTGCTCTTTTACTTTCCTTAATTCTTCCTAAAGGAAAAAGAACATTACTTTATATTTGAAATTTCTTCAATGTTTGTTTAACACTTAATAGAAGAGCAATACTGTTACTCAGTTCAGCAGTTTGGCATTTTATATAAGTTGAACTCTTAGACATTTGTCATATTTTTAGAGAGAGAAGAGAGCCATACATGAAATATCAGGGGTCTGCAAGTGAATTACTGGTAAAAAAGTCTTATCTTTACCTACCTTTTACTTTAATCCTGTTAGGTCCATGGGGATATGTTTGATATCTTTTAATTATAACACAGTAAATTTATGTTATTATGAACAGAAATAACAAAATGACAAAAACATTATACAATGATTTAGAATCAAAACTACGGCTATCATTCTTAAGGCATTTATTGAATGCCTTACATGTGGAAATCACACTGGATGCCATGGGGTCCGCAGAGATGAAAACTGTGCACAAAACACTAATCTTTTCATAGGTGCTTCAGCGTTCTATGGTTAAAAGACAGCATCAACAAGAAAAATTTATAATCTAAGCATAGTTCCTTACTTTGCTTTTCAACCAGTCCTCATTCCCCTAACAGGCCAAATACAATTGTCTACCATTTATTTATAAAATGGCTTATTAATTAAACACTTATTGAGTGCATATCACACTTACAGGCCATGTGGAGTATAAGATGGTAAGAGGCATAGTATAGTCCCTATAGTTCTGTAAAACATTGTTATAAAGAATATAGAACAATTTTTTCCACAGCTAAGCTTGTTAGAGAACACCCCAGGGTAAAAATGTGGGTTAATTCTAATTTTTTTATTGTCAGAAAAGTATAGTCACTAATCATGTAATAATTTCCACCAAATAAAACTGAATTATTGCAATTTCTTAACATTTTTCCATAGAACAACCTCTAGAGGTAGAGAATTAATCCATAGCTCCTCAGCAAAGTGTTGAAACATAGTCCAAAGTAACAAAGCTCTTAAAAATTTCATTTTTAAGATTAAATATAACTGTTAGACTCTACTTTGTGTTATAGTTAAATTTAATATAAAATATTTCCCTCGCCAGCCCCATGCCTTTTGAGTAAAATTTATATTCCAGAAGGATGGACTGTGTTTACCACGTGGCCTTTCTTAAACACGACACAGCATCCAAAACAGATGCCTAAGTTTGGAAGTAACGGACTAAGGAGTTAAGTTTGAACTGTCAACTAGTTTTGTCAGCTTTATAACATACAAGGTGCTTCACCTAATGGCGCCTTTTCAATGAGTTTTGACAAGAGGTATAGTTACTTGCAAAAGGAGAAACCATTTTAACTAATTATCAAAATTCTATTTTTCTGATTAACTTAGGTATTCTTCCTATTCAGTTTTTATTGTATGAAATAGAAAGTAAATTGGCAGAGCCTTTTGGGTTCTAACTTCCATCATGATCTCAGTTGACTGATGATTATGAATTCCATTTAGCTCCAGAAGAAAGGTAATCTTGAGGCTAGGCTCCCCTCTTCCATCTTTTCTAGTTATAGTAGTGATTGGGGTATTTATTCAAATTTGTGCAACTTTATTACTCCAAAACTTACTTATTGTAAATTAAGCCTTCCAGTTTGGGAAAGTTACTGCTTTGTGGAATATCTTATTACCAAGGTTTTATGATAGCCAGAAGGATGTAGTAAGTTTGAACACTAACATTTTGCTTTTAAAACTTTGAATATCTACTCTTTCTTGTAGGCTATCGAAAAACATCTTATTAAGAAGTCCCGTGGAGGTCTTACCTTTATTGGAGAATGGAAGAATGGTCATTTGGAAAAGAAGATGGGGCATTTGGCTTGCTTTGCTGGGGGGATGTTTGCACTAGGAGCAGATGGTTCCAAGGACAAAGCCGGTCACTATTTAGAACTAGGGGCGGAAATTGCACGTACATGTCATGAGTCATATGACAGAACTGGTAAGAATATTAATAACGCCTAGTTACTTAGTCCCAAGTAACCTGTAAGTTAAAAATAAAAATATATCCAGGAATTAGAAAGAAAATACATAGGTATTTTTACTTCAAAATAGTTTACTCTAATAAAGTAAATCGTTTTCTTAAGAACTTGAATTTTAATTCTGGAAATGTGTTCCTGCATCATTTCTTTTTATTATTTCTGAATTCTGCAACCGTTAATAAAGATTTTGAAGAAGTTGTTTTAAAGATAAGAGGTAGAGCATTTGGGGATGCATGGAATAACATTGTTTTAATATAGTAAGAATTGATTTAGCCATTCATTTCTATAAAAACAGTTACTGAAAAGGACACAAAATTGACTGATTTAGGTTACATGCCTTGCCTATCCTCTCGAGAAAATAAGAATAGCGAAAACATAATAGTAGTTATACCGAATGTATAATTGGTATCTAGGTAGCTAGTAGTTTGTCTCTTAGTTCACCAATAATTGTTGAGTTATTTGTGCCCTTAACTAAAAAGATCCTCTGGCGTTGCTTTAGGCAAATACGTAATGTTTGTGGGCTTCAGCATCCTTACCTGGAAAATGAGATGATTCTCAGTGGTGATGAAAATTAGTTCTTGGGGTGAAAAAATTTTTTTATGTACAAAGCATAGATATACATAGTCATAGATAGGTAAACAGTATATATTATTAAAATTTCATGGAGAGAGAAGGCAATCAGGTTTTTATAAAGCCTGAAAATAGAATTGGACTAGAGCTTCTACCATTTTCTCTGGCTTTAAAAATGTTTGTTTTTATATGGAATAATGGATACTGAGTTCCCTGAAAGACTAAAAACTAGTGATTTCTCTTTGTGATTTCAGAAGTTGAATTGTTGTTTTTATGAAATAACTGAATTTCTGTTTTAGGGTTAATTCATCATCAGGTACCATGACACAAAATGATGGGTTTAAAATTTATTCTGGTTTGAAACCTGTCAAGTTATTTTTATATAATAAGGAATTGAACTTAGGGTGAAATTCACCCTTTAATTCCCTCAGTAACTAAATCAAGGATTCCCTTTCTTAACAAAATCGAAGTCAAAAGAACATTGAAGCAGATGTTATTTTAGGATAGCTTAAGTGTTAGTGGATATTACATGGAAATTAAGTGATCTGTGTTACAAATAGAAGCTAAATTATATTATGTTGATGACATAGAGTATTAAATATATACTTAAAGTATAGCGCAAATTAGTAAAACATTGAGGATTAGAGTGGATATTCAGTGTTTGCATTAGGACCCATTATAGTAAGGCTTATCGTTATGCAGATTTTGACCACAAGTCAAATAGATGTAAAATAGTAAGATTTCATAAAACAGACGTGTTAAAAATATGACATACCATAGTTATTATAATTAATCGTTCACTCCATTAAACGTTGAGTGCCAGACAATATGCTGGATGTTTATAGGTTAAAGTATGAACAAGACATATCTCCTGCCTTTGAGGAGTTCATAGAATACCAGAGTTATGGAAGAATTCTCTATATTATATTTCTGACTTTCACATTTCATAGGGACATAATTGATGCGGATATGAAACACTGTGATATTTTGGAAAGAACATGTGAACTAGGATTTTAAAATCCAGTGTTCCACTCTTTATTATCTATGAGCCTTAGGCAAATTATTTCACCTTCCTAAGCCTCAGTTGCTCCATCTGCAAAAACCTGGGATAATAATACCCACCCCATCTTCCTCGGGATGTTAAGCGTAAGTGAACCTCAAATGCAGCCAGCCTATGGTTGTTGCCATCATGCTTGTTCTCATTGTCATTGTCACGTTGCAAGTCAGGGGACCTGTGACCCTCTTTGCCATGGTGGGTCCAAAAAATTACTATTTGATTTGTGTCCTATATTTTCAAGTGTTCCACTGTTTTTACTTATCTTTAATCTCAATTTAGAGTCTCTAATTGAGAAGTACTATCCTCATTTTGCTTACTTCCCACGAGGTAATTACACCTTCTGCTGTATTTTCTTATAGCTGTGCTATGAATTTTGGCCACTTTGTTTTAAAAATCCATCCACTTCTCAGCAGCTATTTCAGCTAAATCCTTATGATAATTACTGTTTTGGAATTTCACTTTTCATTTGTTGTTGGAATTAGTTTACAGTAATTCAAAATTCATGTATTTCACCTTACTGATGACATGGCCCACTGCTTAATATTTAACTGGGTTTGTAGGAAACAGTGATGAATCTGTGCATGAAACTGAGCTGTAACTTAGTGGTAGCTTCAAAAATTATTATATTGATATGGGAAGCCAGACTAGTATATTGCTTTAATTTATTCTGAGGTTTAATGTAAAATAAATGCCAAACCAGAGCTTAGACTTCCAAAATACAGTACTTTCTTTTTCTGGGTTTCTAGATTAAAAAACAAAAAATTGCTGAACATCATTAAAATAATAACTATTATGTAACTTAATTTAATTCATATTGAAATTGGATAAAGCCTTCCCTAGATCATGTTCTATCACTTTTGGCGGGGGAGGGAGGAGGGATTTAATCTTTTTGATTACATATAACATATCCGATGGACAGAAGATCCATTGAACGGGAGTACTGGACATATTTTCATAGTTTTTACAGCTATTTTTTCCTAAAGGAAGTTCCAAGACTTAGCAGTAGACCAACATGGTTATTAAGTCTTCTGAATCACGTGTTTTGCATTTACCAGAACTGTCTGCCATCACTGTAATGTTTTTGGTTTTGTGTGTTTATAAAAAAGGCTTTATTTTCACCGCCTTTCCATTGTGATTCTTGGCAGCTTACAGCGTCATCCTTGTGATGCTGCAATTTGGCCACAGCAACACATCATTCCAACAGCTATAGCATGATTTTGTTTACGGTCCACCAGCTTTACAGTCCTTGTGCTCCCTTTTCTTTTCTTAAAAAAACTATAAAAATGTGCAGCATTATCTTGAAAGAGGTGAGAAATCTGAAAGTATTTGCCAACAGTGCAATCTAGTAAAATAAAAAAAGAAAGAAAGATGGCAGCTGAGACTGGTAATAGTGTGTGACTTCAGCACCCCAATGAAAGATGACTGTATATTGCCCAGGTTTGGGGTGCTGGGTGTGATTAGAAAGAAGTTCTTTAAAAGCCTGTCATACAGTGCTGTATTCCAGGCTGAATGGAAATCATAGCATTCAAGGAATAGTAATGTTGAAATACATGTGCAATGGCCATGTTGTATGCAAACTGATAAATGGGCAATTACTGATGAAATTCTTGGTGACTGGCACTTTGAACCTCTTCCTTGCTGTATATACTGAGGCTATAGAAGAGAGTTTATTTTTAAAACTGGTTTAAGTTTTAATTATATTGTTTCTTATATACGATAGCGTGCTTTAAAAGAAAAGTATATCATCTACAACTAAGTGTAATTCAAGATCTGAGCTCTAAAATGTTTCCTTACGTGTGTGTTATATTAAAAGGACTTTAAAATTGTCTTGACTTCTTAAAAAATAATTCTACATAATGCAAGTATCTGTCCCATTTTATTTTGTACCAAAACAAATATAATGTGCTTACGTCTAGCTTTGCATTTGTTTCCGAAGGATTACTAGACTCTGTCGGTATAGTTAGATTTAGCAGTATGTTGATATACATTATTTATGAGAAATATTTCATGTCAGAATAAGAGGAATATTTATGTCTATTATAAGCCAAATGTGGATCTTTTACAGTCACTGATTTTGCAAAACAGCAACAATAAAAATAAAACAACAAAAATAACTTTCCTTCATCCCCAGCTCTGGTATACAAACACAAATGGTTCATTGTGTGTTTTTGGTTTTTTGTGTGTTGTTACAGCATTGAAGCTCGGTCCCGAATCCTTCAAGTTTGATGGTGCCGTAGAGGCTGTGGCAGTCCGGCAGGCTGAGAAGTATTACATCCTCCGTCCAGAAGTCATCGAAACTTATTGGTACCTATGGAGATTCACTCACGATCCACGATACAGGCAGTGGGGCTGGGAAGCAGCACTGGTAAATAAACCACTTTTTCATTTTATGTGCGAGATTGTTAAATCATGCCCTCCAATAGTGTCATGTTTCCTCGTCTATGTTCTCTCACGTTCAGTAACTATAGGGCATCTTCCATTTATCTGATGGAAAACATAGTCAATTTAAGTTTCTTAAGAACAGAAGTAAACCTTAGACTCCAGTTTAGTTCTCTGTTAGAACTATTTTCCTACTTGTTTTCACTCATATTATTGAATAACTATAAAGACTCATTTAAAAGGCAATTTTTCACCATGATTATAAAATGTCTATACTTGCCTATTAATGCTTAAACTGCAAAAAAAATTATTATAAAACTGCCCAGATTCACAGCCTGGGTAGATTACCCCCTATTCATTTTAGCTTGTGTTCCAAGTAACTCCTTAGTGGATCACCATAAGAAGAATCAGTGACTTGTTGACATTTTTTTAGATTGAAGGACAAATATGTGTATTTGACATGAGGAATTTTTAAAGGTTAGTAAGTAAAGGAAGCAAGTTGTTTACTCTTAAAATACTCACCTTTCAGAGAACACCATGGCTATTAGTACCTGGGGAGGAAGAAAATCATTAGTCTTTTCATGAAAGTAGAGCTTATTCCTGGGAGTGAGGGAGTGTTTTATTCTCTGAGAGATACTCATGATGATAAATAATACTAATGATGATGAATATTCATATTCAAATTATGTAACTTAAGCTTGCAGTCTAGACAGAATGATGGAATTCTAGGTGAGATAAGTAGTGTTAGGAAGCTCAGATAAGAATATTCAAGATATGTTTTAGGGCAGAATGTAGACCCAATTATGTAACAAGAAGGCTTCACAGTGCTAACCAGAGGGAGAGAAGTTTGAAGTCATCGGATGGCCTTCTATACCAGATGAAGGGATGTCTGCTTTACTCAGTGATTCAGACACTCACACACACAAACACACACTTCTCTCAGTTACCATGTAAGTGTTTCTCACATGGGGAAAGACAGCCCTTTGCCTACCTAAAAAGCCCATCAGATCTTTTCCCTCACCATCTCTGACCCACCACAGCTCCCTAATTTTAAGAATCCATTATAGGATTTTCAAATTGGAAGGAACTACTGAAGACTTTATAGTGGGGAGTAACCAAACGAAAGGATTGATTGTGATTTGCAAACTGGTGGGTTTTGGAGACCACTGCAATAATCTAGGAATAGCGTGGTAAAGATTTGAACTAAGGTGCGGACACGCACATGTCCTTTGTCATTCAGACATCTCTAGATGGTCCTTACAGAGGGTGACTATAAGAGAATATGAACAGAAACAAGGTGGTTACATAGAACAGGAACAGATGCCGCACTTAGTGATGCTGCTTTTTCCAGGCCATCTGGGTCCAACATTGGGAACACAGCTGCTAGTGAGACTCTGTGCAGGAGGATCCTGCCACAGTTGAGAAGAGAACCAGGCTGCGGCCCCCGTGGCTGGGGAGTAGGACGCGCACACACACTTCTGTTGGTAGCAGTGGCTTACTAATGCTTATGTAAATGAAACAATATTTTATAGAGAGGAAATAGATAAGTAATCCTGTGATGAATCTGACTTGAATTTATTTAGAGGGATAGGGGAGATAAACCTGAATCACATGGGGCAGGAGGGTGAGGGGTGGTGGCAGAAACATGTCTTCTTGCTGAGAAACACTGTAGGATAATCGATCCTTTTCCTAAAGTCCCTTTTTCCTGTGCATCTGCTTAAAGTTTGGCCCTACTCCTAGCTGTTAAAAAGAAGTTTGACAAGCTCAAATTTTAACCTGTCCAAATTTGAACTATAGGAGTTAGAATTTTGTCTCTGGATAGACTATATGAACACAGACAAACTCAAAGTATAAAGAACAAGAATGGAAAGAATTGAAAGGTCTGACAATTAAGTTCATGAACATGTTGCAGCGCTTTTGCTAACCTTTTTTGATATGAGAGGGATTATTCATTATGAATTTGTACCAACTGGACACACAGTTAACCAAGTTTACTATTTGGAAGTGCTGAAAAGGCTGCATGGAAAAGTTAGACGACCTGAACTTTTCGCCAACAATTCATGGCTCTTGCATCACGACAATGCACCAGCTCACATGACACTGTCTGTGACAGAGTTTTTAGCCAGTAAACAAATAACTGTATTGGAGCACCCTCCCTACTCACCAGACCTGGCTCCCAATGACTTCTTTCTTTACCCAAAGATAAAGGAAATATTGAAAGGAAGACATTTTGATGACATTCAGGACCTCAAGGGTAATATGATGACAGCTTTGATGGCCATTCCAGAAAAAGAATTCCAAAATTGCTTTGAAGGGTGGACTAGGTGCTGGCATCAGTGCATAGCTTCCCAACGGGAGTACTTCGAAGGTGACCATAGTGATATTCAGCAATGAGGTTGTAGCACTTTCTAGGATGAGTTCGCGAACTTAATTGTCTGACCTCATATGCTTTAAATTCAGGTTTAAAAATATGTGTGAAGAGGAGGGGGGGTGAGGTGGAGACGAAAGAGGGGGATCCACATCTTAAATAAAACTTACTTTCTTGCCCACTGTCCTCCCCTGTTGGGTATTCAGGCTGAGACAGAATAGTGGCATCTCATGGCTTCTGGAACTTCAGCCCTTCCAAACTTGAATATATTATGCATGAAAACTTGCCTTCCAGAAGTGACTCTAAATGGCTTAAAGGTCAGTCACACCTCCCTGCGCCTTCTCAGTGGTCCCAAACTGCTCTGATGTCCTGTGACAGTAGAGACACAGGTCATTGTGAAGAACATGATGTTTAAAAACTCCTGTATCCAAATTATGTTTAAAATATTTAGATAGAGAAAAGTACTAAGCCCTTTGAGAAAAAGACTTTAAAACCCAGCTATAATCAAAATGCAACTATACAAAAAACAGTTTGACTAAATAAACACTTTCAGTTAGCTTTTCACTAGGAAGGAGGAAGACCAGAGGAGTCAGAAAACAGCGAGACGAGGAACAGGAGTCCCCACACCTTCCTGGCAGTACGTGCAGGGCTCCACAGAAACAGAGAAGCGCCATGTGTGCATTCAGTTCCTCATGCATGGCTTAACCTTGGAGTGGGACATACCTGCACAAGCAGGATATTAGGTTGCTCTGAATGAAAAACAAGATTTTGAATAGATTCCATTGGATTCGGTGTATTTTATTTAGACATGTGCAAAGATGCAAAGAGACATAAATTAAGAATTTTAGCTCCCAGTCAGGCAATAGAGCACAGCAGTTAATAATAATGTGGAGTTACTCTTTGCCTCAGTTTTCCCATCTGAAAAGTGGAGCTATTAAGACAGCCTCCTAAGGTTGTTGGAAATTTAAATGTTAATGCTTGTAAAGCTCTTAGAAAAATCTTCAGCACATAGTCAATACTTAATAACTGTTAGCTCTTAATATTATAATTATTGTGATAGATGTGTGGGGTGGGCACTTCCTGCCGGTTGGTACCATCTATAATGCCTAACTCGTGATGATATAATACAGTGTCTGTCATTTAGTAGGTGTGCAGTAAATATCATCTCATCACTGTTACTATGGAGAGCTCCTAAGTACTGGGTCTTCGGAAAAGTCATGTGGTATTTTGTCTATGTTTTTCAAAGGTCATTTATTTATATAAAGAACAAAGATCAATCGATATATTGCCCATTTTGTTGGATAACCTTTTGCCATCTTTCAGTGAGCTTCATAATTCCTCGTTCATAGAAGGACCTGTCTTTATCGACGAGAAACAGAACAAGGTGCTGATTTACAGCCTCATCTGAATTGAACGTTATACCATGCAAGGTGTTTTGAAGAGAGTGAAACAAGTGCAAGTCTGACGGCGCAATGTCAGGCGGGTATGGTGGGTGTGGCAACACATTCCATCCAAGATCCAATAATTTTTGATGGGGGATCAAACTTGTGTGTGGTCTTGCATTGTCGCGATGGAACACAACTGCTTTACAATTAACAGGCTCTGGACATTTCTGGATGATGGATTCGTTCAAACTGTCCAATTGCCGACAGTATGCATTCGAATTGATTGCTTGGTTCCTTGGTAGGAGCTCGAAAAACACAACACCTTTAAAATCCCACCACACTGAGATCATAACCTTCCTCTGATGAATGTCTGCTTTCGATGTCGTTTGAGGCGAATCATCGCGTTAGGACCAAGACCGTTTGTGCACCACATTGTTGTAAACAATCCACTTCTCATCACCAGTTATCAGTCGCTTCAAAAAAGGATCGTTTTCCTCACGTTTAATGAGCATATCGCAGATGTTTATTTGCGCTGTAAAATGAACTTCCTTGAATTTATGTGGGACCCAAATATCGAGCTTGCTTGCGTATCCCACCTTCTTCAGGTGGTCGTGAACGCTTGAATGATGGATGTTCAATGTTGCTGCAACCTCTTGTGTCGTGTAACGTGGGTTTGACTCGATCAGTGCCTTTATTTTGGTCATCATCAACCTCCGTGGGCCTCTCTGATCGAGGAGCGTGGTTGAGATCAAAATCACCAGCACGGAATTTTGTGAACCATCGTTGGCACTGACGTTCTTGTAGAGAATTGTCACCGTAAACTTTATGCAACTTTTCACAAGCTTGATTCGCGTTCATCCCTTTGTGGAAGTAAAACAGTGAAATATGGCAAAAATGCACAGTTTGGCTTTCCATCTTCCAAGTTGTAAAATCTCCAAAACTCAACCAAATCGCTCAATTTTTTTTTTAGAATGAAGGTAGAACTGTTAGCTGTCAAATGACATGGCAATAACATAGATGCGAATGACTCTAGTACCATCTGTTGCAAACGTGTCATGACTTTTCCGAAGACCCAATAATACTTTTTTTTTTTTAGCATGTTTTGGATTATTGTTTCTCTTTGGAAGCAATAAAATTGCATTTCAAAATTTTAATTCAAACTGACCTCCTTCTTAATTTGTCAGAATTAGTAAGGCTTTATTGTGCTATACTGGTCTCTAATTCAGTGTGAATAGCCTAAATTTGACTCCTATATTAGGAAAAATATAAGGTATCTTAAGAAAATTAAAGAGTTTTGAAAGAGGAGGAAATTCCACAGGAAACAGAGTACCTCAGTTAATTTTTCCAGACTGAGAATATTTCCATTTGATAATAAATCTTATTTAACTTTCATTCTCATATAGAGCTCTGTGAACTTCTGACTGTGGTGCCTTAACTTAACCTTTAGAACTTGAAATCCTGTGGAATTGATTGTTTTGTCTGATTCCTCTCCCAGGCTATTGAAAAGTACTGCCGCGTCAGTGGTGGATTTTCTGGGGTGAAGGACGTGTACTCCTCTACACCTGCACACGATGATGTGCAACAGAGCTTCTTTCTTGCTGAAACATTAAAGTACGTAGGTGCCTTTTTAACATTTTGTATTGTGGGCTGCTTTTGCTGTGTGATCCATACATGATGAATTATGACTGAAATATGTTACACTAAATTTTAGTACAAATGTCTTTTTATGTAATTGGGTCTTAAATTTTTAGCTGCATCTCAAGAAGAATGACTTAGACTATGAGGTAGATATTTTGTCAGCTAAGAGTTGATTACCTTTATTTTGTCCTTAGCTCTTTAGTGTGCATTAGAATCACCTGAGAGGCCTTTTAAACAACAGGTAAGTGGGCGATACCTGCAGAGTGTCTCATTCAGTAGGCCTAGGGTGCAACCTGAGAATTTGCATTTCTGACAAACTCCTAGGTGGTGCTGATGATGCTCATCCTGGAAGCACCCCTGAACTCCCTGCTCTAGTTAATGACATCTGTTAGGAATAATCATGGAGCTTTGATGGCACCAGAGGGTATATGACCATAGCTATCCATCCTTCCAGTGAAGGTTCCCATAAAGATACACATAAAGGGAACAATGGAGAAGAAAAAAAACACCTTTATTATCCTCAGAACTCTAGGCAGAGCTCTCTATAAACTAACTAGAAGGCAGAGAGACCTTAAATATATCCACTTCCCTAAAGCCTACAAAGGAAATAGCTCTTGATACCGTCCTTTAAATTTCATATTTCTGTCTGTACCTGAATGCCTCATAAACTATCATTTCATTTGTTGAAAAATATGTTTATTTTCAGGCATTGTTCAGGTTACTTGGGGATATATCAGTAGACACAAAGGACAAAATTTCCTACTCACCTGAAGTTTTCATGCTAGTATACTTCGAGCTTACATTTGGTATACTATAGTTGAAATTTACGTGTCTCCAATTAAGTTTCTTATTCTAAATGGCCACCTTATGCCAATTTTACTTTTATAATCCCTTGTACTCTTTTTTTCTCCATCTTTTCGGCTTGTGCATTATTATTTCTTTTTTTTTTTTTTTTTAAGCTGAGCCATTCTGCCACCTGTTGGCAGCTCATCTTGGGCTGGGAATCAAACTGCTATTGCTCAGAGCTCGCACTCTTGAGTGGGCCCTTAACCAACTGAGCCACTCAGCCGGCCCTGCATTATTATTTCTTTTTTCACCTAATATATCACTAAGTCTTCATAATTCTTGTTACATTGTTTCTTTATTTTGCTCCTCTTCATATCTACAGTTGACCCTACCCCACACCCTGACTACTGCTGAAATGGTTTAGACTTAGAGCATCTGAATGGCGGTCAGTTCCCTACCTCTAGTCATTCCTTGTTTTGATTTATCCTGGGTGATTGGGCTTGAGACTGTGTGGGATAGTTGAAAGAGCACTGGCCTGGGAAAGAAAACCACAGGAGCTTTAGTTATACACGTGTTAGCACCTAGTTGAGTGAGCATGTCAAAATAAAATGTCCTTGCTTTCAGTTATCACACCTGTAAACTGTGGAATTTGACCCAAATTATGTATCTTCTTTTTTTTTTTTAAGACCAGAAATACTGTAAGAATAGTATAGGGGTGTTTGTGTATCCTTCACCAATTGTTAATTTTTACCACGTTCCTCCTCCCCTGTGTATATGTTTGTACACACACACACACACACACACACACGCACGCAGTTTTACTGTTTTATTTAATTAAAAAGATTTTTGCTCTATAATTTGAGAGTCACCAGATTTCTGATACTTACACAAGAGTTTTCAAGAAAAGGGCATAACCCTACGTAAACACAATACAGTTACCACACTTGGGAAACTTAGCATTCATATAATTGTTTAACATGTAGTCCATTTTCGCATTTCTCTATTATTCTAATAATCTACTTTATAACTATGTTTTTAATCACCAAAGGATTATATGTTGCATTTGGTTGTCATGTCTCTTTAGTCTCATTTAACTAGGCCAAAGTTTCCCTACTTTTCTTTTGTTTTTGCTTTTTTATGACATTGACACAGGTATTTAAGCCAGTTGCTTTGAAGAATGTCTCTCAGTTCTATATTTGTGATTGTCTCCTAATGATTTAATTTAGTTTAAAATTTTTGGCACTAATATTATACAGATGATATATTCTCATTGCATTTTTTGAAGAGGCACATGATAACAGTTTAGCCCATTATTGGTGATTTTAAGTGTGTTAATCAGGTTAGATTTGATTATAAGGTCATGTAAAGAATCTTTTTTTATAATTAATAAGTGATCTGTAGAGTGATAACTTTGAGACTGTGAATATCCTTTTTCCAACAGTCTTTCTATCAGTGTTATTAGCATCTTGCCTGATTCAGATATTATTATAGTAGTAGCATGCTAATTGAAGCCTGTTTTAGTCTTAAAAAGAAAATACTTTGATTTTCATACACCATTTTCTTTATTTCACTTTCCTTCTGCTCAAAATCTACAGTAGTTCATTCCTCTCTGCCTTCATTTCTCATTTATTTTACTTAAATATTCTAATCTAAAACCAAGCTAACCTATATTCATATATATAAACATATATACATGTGTATATATAGATATACGGGGGTGCCAAAAAAATGTATACAAGTGGACACTTGGGTCAGTGTTGCTCAAGCAGTAGTTCACTGTAATCAGAAGTGTCTGGATGCTGATGGTAACCACCTTAAGCACCTCTTGTAATTGCAGAAGTCAAACATGACTTGTATTCATTTTTTGTTATTGGTATATATTATTACAACTTTAATAGTTTTCCTTTCTTAAAATGTTTATACATGTTTTTGGGGCACCCTCTGTATATATGTGCATATGAAATTTGTTGTTTTACATTTCACTGTCTATTTCAATTTTACTGGCCCTTCTCTTTTTTCTAAATTCAGTTCAGAGCTCATCTCTTGTAGATTGGCTTTCATGACTAAACCGTAAATGCCTCCAAGCACAGGCCTTCAACACTTTAGCACAAGGGATAGAGCTGCTTCCAGTAATATGTGGACCATCACCAGTTGACCGTGGTGCTTTCCCTGCCAAATTCAGGAAGAATCCATCCTGAATACAATTAGTTACATTTATATGTACATAATTGCTGTAATACTCACTTTCAGAAAAACTCATATACATTTGGATCAGTAAAAGTGGAAAACGCCAAATCATTGGGACCTAGGCTAAGGAAATTATCACACTTGAGTGCTATATTCGGCCCTGAGCTTCCTGGCAGCTAACGCAAAAAGGAAGCATCCTATTCAGTGTCATTTTTACCTTACTGAGTTAGGAGAACATATTACTTTAACAGATGAAACAAGAATTTTTCCTACTGCTAAATTATAAGATAGCTTAATTTGATAGTTCATTTTTTAAAAAAGTACTGAACTATTAGGTGAACCATATGAAGTTGCCTTTTTTTTTTAGGTCAAAAATACTTGAGTACTGGCAATTTCATCTGGTTCAACCCAATACATAATGATAAATACCTTCAAACATTGATGTTATAGAAGATGCAAAAACACTGTTAATGTGACTTCCTCTGTATAAAAACTGATGTCATAATACTGAAATGCAGTTGAATCAAGACATTTCTGTGAAGACTAATGCAGGTTTATATTTTTCTTATTATTAAGATAGAGCTTAAAACTCCATAGAGGAATGAAGAGTAGTACGACTCCATAGATTTTTCTCAATTGACAATTAATTTAAATAGGCTTTTGTCAGAAGCTGAGTCACAATTTAAGATTGTACATTCTACCACGTAGTTGACATTTATTGTGAATTCATTAAAGTGTAACCTAAGCATGTGCTTTAGGTACTCAAAAAGATGAAAATGACACTGAACAGGATGCTTCCCTTTTGCTTTAGTTTTTTTGTTGTTTTAAGATTTTATTGGGGAGTTGGGGAAGGGGAACAGTGTGGGGAATTGGGGAAGAGGAACAGCCAAGTTCGTTGTCCTTCAGTCTTAGTTGTGGAGGGCGCAGCAAGCTCAGCTCCAAGTCCAGTCTCCATTTGGCCGCCCATCGGCAGCTCGCAGCCACTCAGCCCAAGGTGCTGTGTTCAGTCTTAGTTGAGGGTGGGTGTAGTCCACCATCCCATGCGGGAATCGAACCCGCAACCTTGTTGTTAGGAGCATGTGCTCTCACCAGCTGGGCCATCCTGCCATCTGCTGGCAGCTTAGCAACAGCTCAGCTTAGGCGCAGCTCACTGGCCCATGTGGGAATTGAACCGCTGACCCTGTTGCTCAGAGCTCGCGCTCTTAACCAACTGTGGCACTCGGCCAGCCCTAGCTTACTTTTTAAATTATAAAAATATATGGGTATGGCAAAATGAATTAAATAGTATGGAAAGCAAAAAATCAATAATAAGTTTCTCTGCACCCCACATCTGGTCTCACTTCCCAGAGATAACTGTTATTAAACAGTTATTGATGTCTCTCCCCTTTTAGAAATTTCCTGGGTATATGCAAACATATAAAAATAGATATTTATAATGTTTATATCCTTGTAATAGTCTTTTATTTGTTAGAAGTTAGAAGGGCAATGGTACTCAGACTGGAGCGTGCATCGTTATCAGCTGGAAAACTAGAGGCACAGATTGCTGGGCTCGGCCAGCAGAGTTTCTAATCAGTAGGTCTGAAGTGGGGCCTGAGAGTTTTCACTAGGTCCCAGGTGATGCTGCTGGTCTGGAGGCTCACACTTTGACAACCACTGATACCTGTGGCTCAGTAAACCACGTATGGAGCAGTTAGAGACGAAGGGATTCATTGGTACAGCAGGGGGCAGGTGGGCATGTCGTCGTTTCACTTTTGGTTTATGGAGTCCTGTCTCCTCAGATGGACCCTGAAGGACTAGATCATGGCCTCCACGTGTTGTAATCCCCCTTAGGACCTATCACAGTGTCACAGTGCGATCCAAATGTTAGACACGATGGAACACACATACAGAGCGAGTGTCACTTGTACTGTTTCATAGAAGCATTTTTTTTCGGTTTCAAAACTGTACTTTGAAATATCCTTGCCAATTTTTTTTTGATACAGCAGAGGGAGCTACAACCC